TTTACAACTACCTTCCCTTCACTGCTTTAAAAGAATACCGCTACGATGTCGTCTCCAATGCGATGGGCAGATTCCGATAGCGAAGACAGCGATGAAGAGTACCAAATCGAGAAGCAGGAGTCATCCGATACCGAAGAAGCACCATTGCCCGAAASATCCTCCGATAAAACAGATGGCAATAGCTATCTGCAACGACAGCGGCAACAACAGCACCATCARCGGCCTTCATCGTTTCGGAATCCAAAGAAAGGGGGACAGCAGCAGCATTATGGAGGCGGTGGTAACTATGGTGGAGGACGAGGCAAGAACCGAGTACCGCAACAGAAGCAACGCCACCCCAATCAAAATCGAGGAAGACAAGGGCCAGACAACTGGAAAGAGCTAGCAAAGGCATCCTCTCGGTTTGCATCTGGTACGTCGCTTCGTTTTGCGTGTTGATTCGATGACTTTTGGAAGTTTTACGACGAAATTGCGATTGCTAGTATTGCATCCCTATTCAACTCACACTTTTGAATCCAACGCAATATATTATGAAATCGGATAGATTCGGACAACAACAGCAGTCAAAACATCGATGGCAGCGCTTGGATGGCGCAGAGAAAAGCAAAAMTGGAGCAAGAGGCAAAAGCAGAAAAGCAGAAGGAGGCAGAGCGAAAACAGCGGGAACAGGACGAAAAGCAATCACGACGCAAATCGCAGCTGAATGCCCTCAAGGCGGMCATGACCGAAATAAAGCAGACRCAAGTGGACGAACCACCCTCCTCCCTGCGGGCCGCGGTTATGTCCAATTCGAATTCGCAGGTGCAAATCCTGAAAAAGGAGCACGCTCCTGCTACCACCGCAAAGCAAAAGAGCCAACCTAGTTTCGCCCGCGTTGAAAAGGAGGACGCATCCATAGATGGATCGTGGAGGAGAGCCCAGCCAGCACCGCCCAAGGCCTCCTCGCATTCGGCCCCGCTACCCCCGAAGTATAGCTACACCATAGGGCCTCCTCCGGCAGCTCCCTCGCAACAAAACAACAAAATACCTCACAAGGCAGAACTCCAGCCGGATCGCTCGTCCGTAAAATTCACCAGGAACCGAAGCAAACCTTCCGATGACACAAAAGCAAAAGAAAAGGCAAAAGAGAACGGCAGCGGTGATAAAAGTGATAATAATAAAACGGCCGAAGATACCGTTCAGGGGGACAGGGGAAGAAATCAACAACGTGTCATTGTTGCTTTTGATGATGCATCGGGGCATCCTTCTTCCAAGACAAAAAACAACAACAGGAAGAATCGACAGAACAAGATCAGCAAAAACGACAATGGCGACGACGGCGAAAATGCTCCAACAGCCCAAAAGTCAAAGGCGCAGCGTGACGATTGCAACGATGAGGATGTTGCCTCTACAAARACGTCGTCGTCGCGTGGATCATCAACCTTGCATTCTCGAAGCAGTCGCGGTGGAGGAAGAACGGCCGGAGGCGGTAGAAACAACAAGAAGAATGCCCATCGCCGCGACAGCAGAAATAGCAAGGGTGGTGGAAGAGGACGAGGGCGTGAGGGTCGGGKATTGCAACAGAAACCCTCGTCGTACAACAAGACGAATGCAAGCAGCGGTAACGATGGGGAAAGTTACGGCAATCGTGCCAAGAACGACGTACGAGGAGAAGCGACACAAGACGCGAATAGGGGAGGCAGAGGCCCCGGGGGTAGGGAAGGAACTCGTCGCGATTCTGGGAGAGGGAGAGGGCGGGGATCGTCAAGTAGRGATAGCGGAGGAGGCAATGCATCCAGTGGACGTGGTCAAAGCRCAGGCGGCAGAGGAAATGGTGACCGTGGAGGAAGAGGGCGAAAAGGAGGAAGAGGGGGCAGACCAGGTCAGAGACCTGATGGGAAACCAAAGTACAGTTACGAAATTGGTAAAAACTAGTAGGTAATGGTGATTATTTAAAGAGCAACAACTAGAAGTGTTTCATGATTCAGTGAATGACYTCGTAAAGACGACTAGTGATGTAAAATGAAACACATTACAATTTCCCCAGATAGTAATTTATTTCTATGTTACTTCAGCGAACAGAGTCACCGTTTTTCGTACAAGTGCAGCGCCAAAAAAATCGATCAAAAAGCAATATTTTTTTAAGCCTTCGCCTTAGCAGTTTTCAATAATCTAGCCTTTTCTTTTTCTTCCTTCTGCAAAGCATATTTCTCCCTCTGGCGTTCTCTACATCGGAGACACTTGGTAGCGAGTCCCTTATCACCAAATGCCGCCCATGGTCGAAAGTTCTTGCAGCCCTTGCACCACTTAATCTCAAGACCAGAATTAGCCACAACCCACACATTGACATCGCAAAGCGTACACAGACCCTTGTTCTGCGTCGGAATAATTGCGTATCCACCTTTATCTCCCGAGGAGTCCTTTCCGTCCTTTTTACTTCCGTGAGAACCGTTGCCTTTCTTCTTGTTTCCAGAAGAACAAGGGCATGCCGACCCACACATTACACAGCATCTCATTCCTTCTGGAAGGTTCACGGCTTGTTTTTGAGACATGTGTACAGGGAAGTTCACTAGACTCGTAAATTCTGGAACGGTTGCCCCTTTGAATTTTTCTATGTCACCTTGGAACTTTGATGGGATCGGAGGTTTCAAAGGGATGCATTTTCTCTTAGATTGAGTGATATCCATTGGTGACATGTGGTGGGGGCTTGCCATTGGAGGCGCCATTCCTCTTTGATGTGGACTCCACATTTGCTTCGGACCAGGCAATCCCATGGGAGACGTCAATGGATGGTGAGTCGACATAGGTGGTGGAATGTGAATCGGCATTGGTGCCATATGGGCACCAGGAGGCATTCTTCCTCGAAGATTTCGTATTCTATCATTATGTGGCCCTGGTGGTGGATGATGATGACCACCGTACATGTGACCATAGTCGCGCCTTTCGCCATGTAGAGGGCTACGTGAATATGCACCACTCATGTTTGAGATTGGATACTGTGGCGGTTGAGTTTTCGATCCAGCATATACCGGTGTTGGAGGAAGGCCCTCACGAGGTGGTCCGTGAGAAAAAAATTGAGGAGTTGCTTGTTTCTGCCTCCTGTCCATGAACACGCTGTTCGAATGATATAATTGTTCTGGTTGCGACGCCTTGGATCCCAACTCTTTACTTTGAACCGATTTTTTGTCAGGTCTATCTGAGTGGTGATTCTCGCGCTCGTCAGTGCCAGAGTCACGGAAGAAAATCGGCAGCGGCGTCGTAGTACCACCAACCCGATCTAGCGACATAGCAGTRTCAGAATTAGGAGACAGCATTGAGAGTCTAATGCTTTCACCATCGTCTTTGTCATTTTCATCTTCCTCGTTTTTCTTTTTCGACTCATGGTCTTCTTTCCAGAGGGAAAAGTGGTGAGGACTTATCACCATGTTCCCTGTTGCTGACGACAGATGAGAAGTCGTTGAGTCTGGTCGTCTTCTATCCCCCTTTTCACTACTTTCCTCCCAGCTACAACCTGCTAAGTCTTCGAGTGAAGGAGTGTCCCCAGCTATACTCCATGATAGAGATGGTGCGATAGCAGAAAACGCTGCTGCAGATGGAGATATTCCCGTCTCGCCTGCATGTGGCARTGGAGTGAAAGACTGACCTCGAAGATGTTTATTTAGAGTGTGCTCATCAGTCATAGAATCATTTTGAAGCATGTTTGGTGGCGTCGGAGTGTCTGTAAAGGACCCAAGACGCGGCTTTTCGTTGATCTCATCCATATCAGTCTTCACAGTCATCTTTGGAGTGAGATTTTTCTTTCTATTGATATTCGTTTTAAGTGGGGTTTCGTCAACATCTCGATGGTTTATTGGTGACGTAGATAAACTCAAAAAGATGTTTCTGTTTTCATTTGAATCCTCCTGCTCTGAGTCTTTCATAGATAGCTGTCTGAAGCGGGATGTTTCGGCATCGTCAATGGAATGATCAGATGCATTTGCCATTCGAGAACCACCTTTCCTCTTGAATATTGAACTAGGATCAGTATCTCTCTCAATAGACACTGGCTCACTGTCGCTCCCCTTCCGTCTCTTCGGAGAAGCTTTCATCATCGGTACATCTTCCACTAATAAAATTGAAATATACAAGAACATTCATGAGGTGATTTAGGTGATTTTCATTATATTTTTCTGCGTTCTTTTCGCCTTTCAGAAACATACCTTTTGGTCCTTCATACGATGAAAGAGAGAATCCTCCGCCGCTCAAACTTGATGTTGTCGAGTTTCCAGAATTCGTCCTTCGATGAGCTGGACGCTCCCGTTCGTCAAAGATATTAGCAGACCGAGGCATCGGAGGAAGAAAGTTTGAATCTCGAGATGATGATCGCTCACGCTTACTCGGTGACTCGGTCATCGACTGATCAGTGGTCTTGCTGGCTGTCGCAGTACTGTTACTACAGCTACTATTTGTTCTTCGGAAGGAGTAAGACAACGGAACAGACTTAACCTCTTTACTTCCATCATGAACGCCCTCTATCGTTCGCTTTTTTCTCGATCCCTCCGATGAGTGAGACTTTGWTGATCTCTTACTCCTACTTGACGAAATTGACATTGAGTCAGACGCTTGTTGAGAACCATGATATGATTGTGGAGGTGGGGCAGGGTGATAGCTCATAGGAGGCGGTGGACCAGGATACGGACCTCCGTATCCATTGTGATGATACCCTGGAGGAGGAGGCCCWGGACGACCAGGCATATTTGGCGGATGGCCATAATGTCCRTTTCGTCCACCATAATGCGGTTGACCTGGATGAGGCAAGGGAGGCATCTGATGATAATGGTGTGGATGAGGAGCTCGAAAGTGATGATCATGAGGAGCTCCWGGATTCCTATTATAATTTAAGTATTGATGAGGTGCATGTGGAGGAWGATAGGGSCCAGGTGGTGGTCCTCTCGATCCTCCGTGCATGGCAGGATGAGCAGGATAATGTCCTCCTCTTCCTGCAGGGGGTTGATGGTGATACGAAGGATGGAAACCTTCATGCATACTATAAGGATGTTGGGAAGTCTTTCCTTTTCTAGCTTTAGGTGACTGCGTTGAACTCTTCGATAGATGTGGTTCATCTCTTCCTTCCCTCAGATCTCTTCGAGATGKCACATCGTCGTCTCGATCCTCACGCTTTATAGTGCGATYCTTCAAGGGTGCTACTTTAGCAGATTTCGTGTTTTCCATCGCTTTGATTTCCGACGACGACGACGTATTCGGATCCCCTAGTTCCATTGTTCCCAATTAAATAACTTATCAATCAGTATCGGAGGTTTGAGGGTATTTTAGTAGCTTCACAAAAGATAACCCGCGGATTACCTCAAAAGTGAGCTGAATTATGTGACCTCGGTTGTCCCTAGAGGCAAAAAGTATTTTCGTTGCCCGATCAAGTGGGGTGAAACGTTGTTTTATTTTACAAGCTGTAACGTTATCAAATTATATATTCAGATACGATTAAAATGTTATATTACCTGGCGTTAAAAAGCTAAGCAGGGCGGTTCGTACTTTTCAGAAATTGTGCGGACACAAAAAAATCAACGGTGTTTCTGTTCATGATCGAAACACGAAAACGCAACGGTTATCCTAAGGAAAACCGTTAAGGTTGTTTGGGCGCGGAAAGAGTATGAAAAAATAAAAAATTATCGTTAGATTATGAAGGTACGAGTACTGGTACGTACCGTTATGACACTATGTAGGCGGCATGTGTGACACCGACGTCACGAAAAAATATGCTTCCAATCTAAAAATAGATTGCTAAGATGTTGCAGATAAGATGAGACTATTTGATTCTGGAGAAGTCGAATAAATGTAGAGACCGTCTCTACGAAATCTATGAAGCCATGACTRGGAAAAGGCACGGCCTTTGCGTTTCAACCCTGGTGTTCTGTTCTATACTAATCGCAAGGAGCATTATCCGTGKTAAATTCGTAATTGATCAAGTATCCTATACGATTTATCAATCCCGTTTTACCACCTCTGTTSAAGCATTGCAATTGACAAATTCAAGCATAGAACCATCAATTGAAACGAATCGAACTTCACCGACAGCATTATTATCTACAAATTCAACTTCGAAACCTGATGCTTTGTGTACCAGAGAAGAAATACAAAAAGGCTCTTGGAAGAGGGCGATTCTCGATGMACCGCCCTATTTGCCTCGTACCGTCCACCTTCAGTGTTATGCGGAGTCCGAATACAAAACAGGMAGATGGACTCATACGTACGAATGGCAGCCGACGGCTTCGTTGTCTGCGGATTGCACCTTCTCCGATTGGAACCGTGACACGTTTTGTAAGCTCATGAGAAGAGCCACTATATTGGTACGAATGGGTCCGATTTCATTTTAAGTGTCGAGTGTCATTTTTCTTTGACTCGTCAAAATCTCATGTGCTACTGTATCTTATGAATGCCTCAGATCATTGGAGACTCCCTTAGCTTTGAGCACTACCGCTCCCTTGGCCACTTGCTAGGTTTACACATATCCCAGTTTTCACAACACGAATCAAAAGCGGAACAAAAAAATATTGTGAATTACGCGTGTCGGAAGCAAACGCGAATTGTTTWTCGTCGTGATGACCTTTTGTCAAATGTTAGCCATGCCATCTTTGAACAAAAAACTTTTCCACAGGTGATTGTGATGAATCGTGGTGCGCACTATAAAAACGACACAACCCTCATGACAGGGATGAGGAAAGTTGTTAACGAATTGGAGGATTGGAAGTCACATTGCGAGCTCTTCAACATTACATGCCATCTACTGTGGAGAACAACCGTCCCAGGACATCCAAACTGTGAAAAGAATAATTTTCACCAGCCAGTTAATGATATACATGCGATGGAAGCGTTGATCAGCAATCGTTCCAATTACAACAACCGAACGATCCAGTATCGCTGGTTTGACTATCAACGCCAAAATAAACTTGTAGTTGATATGCTTACAAAGCACCAAAGTCTAAAACAGCGGACATCGACTCCTTTCTTCCTTGAAATAATTGATGCCTACTATCTGAACGTGCTCAGACCAGACGAGCATCGCACTCATCAAGGAGATTGCTTGCACAACTGTTATCCGGGGAAAATGGATGTATACAGTCAGTTGCTGGTGCATTTCCTTCAAAGTCAGAGAAGCAAGAAGGATATTGATTCTATGATTGCTTGGCAAGAAAGTCCACATAGACTACTGT